CTCTTCCGATCTTAAATATTATGATTTTGACATCTTGTATTGTATTTCGTATGATTATCGATGCAAATATAACATTGTGATTGTCCTTCGACGTCATCATTAATCGCTTCCGCATTCTGAACTGTCTTATCGCTCACGGGTCAAAGAGACCCTATATATTCTTCGTACAAAGGTTAAAGTTTCTCAATAATTTTCCTCAATGTTCCAGTAATGTTGTAGCAATATGCAACGTTGCAGCAATGTTACTATAAGTTTCTGTATGGGACGTTTTGTTAGCATAATTAAAACATTTTTCTTATTGTTAGTGTAGCGGGGCCATGCAGTCCCAGTGCAAAATTACTGCAAATAATTAATTGTTTACACAAATCAAATAAATGATTAATAATAATCACAAAAAGCTATGAGAAACTACTTTGTTTTTTTTTTCAGATCGCATAAAAAAATAAAATTTTGCAAACATATGTAAATGCTAAAAAAATATACAATTTTTCAACAACCCAACTTAGAGCGACAAATGATTCATCGGATTGATGTCGAATCGATCGATATTGATACGATAATTTCAATATCAATTCGACGTCGATCACATTAACGGCTATTTCTCACTGGAAAGAGAAATGATACAAAATTTTGTTAGAATTTCAAGAAAGTACATTAATGATATACATTAATAAATAGAAAATACTATTAAAAACTGAAAAAGTTGAGGAAAATTATTGAGAAACTTTAACCTTTGTACGAAGAATATATAGGGTCTCTTTGACCCGTGAGCGATAAGACAGTTCAGAATGCGGAAGCGATTAATGATGACGTCGAAGGACGATCACAATGTTATATTTGCATCGATAATCATACGAAACACAATACAAAGATGTCAAAATCATAATATTTATAAAAATCATACAAAAAATAAACTTATTTCCTGTATCAGGTGTACAGAAAACTAAAAAAAATAAAGTAATATTGTTCAAAATCTTTATAATAATTTCTTCCCAAAATTAATAGTAAGTTCGTAATAGAAATTCTATTATGAATCAAAATGACCTTGCATTCTCCCGCTCCTGTCGAAAACCATTCATCTTCCAATGGTTAAACTCTACTATACTTATACAAAATTACTTTATTAATTTACAAGATAATGCCGCTTTGCCAATTATCAAAGATGCGATATTGTTTTGAAAAAATAATACAAATTTAAAAGACTTTTTTAAATATAAAAACCATTTTGTAATATAAATTGTTATTGTCTTAAAATTTTGATATGATACATCAATTTGTTCGGCAGAATAATTTGTTAACTAAGATCCTTTGTTTGCTCTTTTGTTATATTATTCATTAATTTGCAAGAAGACAAGCGTAACAACTTGATATCGACTTGTTTTTCACTTAACTTCCACGAATATTACTTTAGAAATTATCGTACATAAGTTGAAATCTATAGATCTCAAGCGGACATCAAGATGCTAAATTCTTTACGATAGCTTAGTTCACTTTCGTAAAAGACGGTATTGCTCGCGTGTTCGATCGTTTCTGTCTTTATTAACATCATATTACGTAAAAAATAAGATAAAGCTGATAATACATAAGTATTATTAATTTAAACATTTTATGTGTATGTTTAAACATTTTACTGTATATTACGTATGTTTTGTACTATTGTATTTTTAATTATTTTTTTTAATATGTAATTTTAATATGTAATAATAATAAATTTTAATTTAAATGTTTAAAATTTTTTAAATTTAAATGTTTTTACCTTATCCAATTTTATTTATTTTTTTGTTTCCATGCTAAATATATTTTTACATTTTATCCAAAAAAAATATTAATAATATTTCAAAGATTTTTCTATTGTAAACTATTCCAAATGTTATTCCAGAATTATGATTTGTTATAGTTAAAAAATACATTTACATAATGTAAAATCAGATTACAAAAATTTCTAAAAGAGATTTTCTAAACAATTGTAAACACATAAAATCACAAACTAATAAATGTTTTTATGAATTATCAATTTATATTAATTGATCAAAAAGGATTTCTTAAAAGACTATAATTCATGTTTTTTTAACTAAATATTAACATTTTTAATTTAACTAAACCCAAGAATTCTGAAAAATCTGAAACTGTTGACAAAAATTAAGTACATGTAAATTATTATATAAAAATTTCTTTTATTTATTTATGATTTTTTATAGTCTATAAGAAAATGATAAAAGATTTTAAAATATTTTTTGTTTCTTCCACTATTGTTTGGCAGCCAAATATAAAGTTTCTCACAAATCCTGTATAATTACATACAAACTGGAGATTAAATAACATTCTAATAAAAATAATATTCTTTACTCTTAAAAAGACAAACAATTAATAAAGGTTGCATAATTCAAAATAAATATTTTTAAATAAACGATATTATTATATAATATTATATAATTAACAAGATTTTGTCTTTTCAATTGTAAAATTGATGTCGTAGTAGCATTTTGAAATTTTTAATTGTTTATTTTGTTATAGACATTATAGATATTTTAGAATATCTTTAGAGAAATATAGAATTATAAAGTGTTACTTGTGTTAAAAGCTGGTTTTCTTAAAACATGTCAGCAATACAAGTTACCAGTTTTAAATTGGACGCTCTACTGGTTAAAAATTCGATACTATATTAATTAAAAAAATCTATTACATGAAATAAAATCAAATTTTTATGCATAATTTAATATATTTTTATTATTTTACTATTATTTTATAATGAATTAAAAAGTAACATAAAATGTTAGAAAATTCTACAAAAAATATTTATTATAAAATTTTAGATAAAAAAAACAAAAGTATCGTAATATTAAATATCTTTTTTCATCAAAGTAGTCACCTAATTTATATTTAATCAGTTTTTTATTAATTTAATTAATCTAACTACAAATTTATTTATTTTTCTGGTGAAGGACTTTTCTATCTTCTATCTTCTAAAATAGTCTATAGCTCAATTTTTGAAATAATTTTAATCAATGTTAATTATAACTGTGCTAAATATAATGCCTGTTTACTTTAATATATTTAATATTATAAGTGGAATACGAATCGAACTTTTTATTTTTAGTATTTTACTGGAATATTTTTAAATTTTATACGTGATCTCAAATCTTTGGCCGGCAGTATATGCAATATTTATCAGAACTCTTAAGAGAAGTAAGTAGGTTTTTTTCTTCAAATAAAATCGTAAAATGATTTAATACATTAAATATATTCTTCGCATAGCTACACTCGGGTCGGTTTTTTTTTTATTTAAAATGCAGTTACACAATACTTTCGAGTTATGATAGATTTGATCAATTTCAAATAAGCTATGATATGTATGTACCATGAGCTTCTCTTCCAATGCTCCTTCATTTCTATGTTCCTTAAAGTTGTTGTGGCCGATACTACTGCTACTACTGCTGCTGCTGCTGCTACTGACGCCACTATTGTATTGTGTCATTTTCATGATGTAGTACTGCACGTGTCGTTAAAACGCGATACTATCGAGATCAATTGGCATGACTCGTTGAGCGATGTTAACGAGCTATCCGACAATTGACAATGCCGCATTTATATAAAATTTACACGTGCGCAGGTTTCATTACCATCCCCTTCACTCACATCGATTTTCATCGTAGTATCTTTTTGTCGGACAGACATGTCCGCACATAATGATTTCGTCACGAAACACTCCGTATCTTACGGACTCCAATTCACATAATCTCAAATTAATAATAATAATTAAAAAAATAGAATAATCGAGGAAGAAGCTTAGTGAAAATCGTCAGAACGAAGCGCAAAGAAAGTAATGGAAGATATTTTTACAAGAGATAACGCTATCCCTCGCGACAACAATTATTAAGTTTAATATACAAAACGTTTGCGTATACACGTAATAAATTATAGACAATCGGATGCGTGTCGCGAACATGCGACGCAAATTCAGTTAAGCCGCACGCAAAAGTAATCGAGGTATGTGTTATCACGGCACAGTCAGGCGACCGACTGAAAAGCACCTGTCCACCTGTACATGTAAAAGCTACGAGCTGGCCTACTACACGCAAAGAATACGCGCGGTATGTACTCTCGCGTACATTGCGACGTTCGACCGGACAATTTGTATTAATGACGCGGCTAATGCCAAACTGTTGCTGTTTTATACTGTTACATTACAGAAAACATCGTGATCGTTCAATTAAGAGAGCAAAGATTAATTTACGTTCGCTTTTTTATTTTCTTCTTCCAATATTATTATGGCATATATTTAACCTGTATCTTATAAAATAATATCTTCAGAAAAAGCTATATTTATTAAAATATTCCTTTAACCTAAATTATCTAAAAGGTTAAAAATTTTTATGTAAATTTAAAAGTATTGTTTCACTTATAAGAAGGCATACCTAAGAATCAATACACACAGAGTGAGAGGAGGAGATAGACGAAGAGAGAGAATTAGTATAACTAATATGCACGGAAAGCATATAATGACATTACAATTTTTAAAAGATCTTAATGTATAATATTCTTGTACAACATCTTGTACAATATTTTTGTGTAATATTCTATATAGAGTGAACCGAAATGAAAAAGGATAATTCTACAACAAAATAAGTCAAAATAATAGAATAAATTTTTCTTGAATAAGGTATTATTTAAAAAAAAGGACTTTGAAAGTTAATCGAATACGCATGCAGTGATATTTAATGTAACAATTTTCACTACGAACATTCTGTATGACTTGTTTACTACTACAACTAATTCAATCAACTAGCTCGTATAAGATAGAGTAAAGAAAGAAGAATAATATAAATAAAGGTAAAAGGCAAAGGACAATTTTATTTCTTACACACTTATTTCTAATTTAATTGAGATATTGTTAAAAATTTACCATTTAATTATACAAAGTTATACAAGTTGTTCCGCAAATTATGTTAGAATAGATTGTTTCTAAAATATTCTGCTCTATTAATTCTTCAAATACAAGAAAATTTTTCTTTTAATTAAATTTTAATTTGCAAAGTCTTTTTTCGAAAACGAGGCTTTATTTAAAAAAAATTATCTTATTATTTCGATTTATTTTAAGTAGAATCATCTCTTTCTCAATTGTACGTATTTCAGTTTATCTTGTACATTATTTTAAATTTTTTTTTCTTTACAAAAGTAAAGTTGCAAAAATATATTTACTTTAGAAATATATTTAATATTTAATTTAATATACACGCGGCAACTTTTTTATATTTTTTTAATAATCTACTTTTTATGTATAGTCATTTTTAGACAAAAGATCGTAAATATTTTTTAATAAAAATTTATATTTTTGTAGGTGTTATCTTCATATATAGTTGAAAAAATTAAGTTGGTACGATGACAAATCAACAGTATAGCCGAAAAATGTATGCGTAAAAGAGAAACTAATAGAAATTTCTCTTGTAGCATACAATTCCGAAGAAGTTTGATGAATCATTTAGGGAACGCGAGAGAGAAAAATATATGTAGTTTACAAATACGTAGAAATTGCATGTATGATACGCGACAACTTGAAAATTAAGTGGAACTAAAACCTTTCATTCTCGAACCACGTCGTTCAACAAGTTGTGCTTCTTTGATAAAGTCACGATTAATAACGCGAGAATGTCAAGGATGAGCACGAATGCTCGATGAATTACATTTGCCGGCGCAAGCAATTCTGTGATTATAATCGACCAGATACGTATCCATAGCACCGCATTTAACACGATACTGATTAATTTTCTTTGCGAATGCACTTTTGATTCTAACTAAATTTAATAGCATTGTCAGCTATATTATATGTAAATTGATATTTATTTCATATAGGAGAGACCGAGGCTGATTGATACAGTTTTTTTAATGAATTTTTTACATGTAACTAATAAATGAAATAAATACCGCAAAGATATTTTTCAATAGCCACATGCTTCAACAATATAGAAATTATTTTTATAATTTAATAATATAACTAATTTAGTTGTATTAATGGAAAATGTAAAGTGATGCAACTTGTAACAACCGGTCCCATATACGAGGTCAATTGTTACAATTACTGGAATCAGTCGTTACACATCCAGATTTCAAAATATAACACATTTAATTGAAGGAAATAAAGAAAATTGTGCATAACTTTATTTATAATTTTCAAATAAAATATACACATTAATGTCTGTCTCTTATACACATCT